AATATACTGGATAATCAACTTCTTAAGAGCTGTATCAAAGGAGAAAAAAAAAAAGAGGAGGCCATCAGAAAGGACAGGGAAGCTAAAAATTGAAGGCTGTGTTTCTGTACCTATATATCATATAGAAGCCAGGTTTGTCTAGGTTATGTTCACTGTTTGGTTGTGTTGTTTTTTCTCATTTTCATCCAAAAGGGTCACTTCCAAAGAAGAAATTGGACTCCTCAAGCCATGCTGTATTTAAAGGGTGCCCGTAAGTCCTAATACCAATTTATCCCAAGAAAAGGGGTGAGAAGTGGGTTTTCCATGGACTTTCTACCCGCGCCCTCCCCCGCCCCCCGTCAAATGTTGGCAATAGGAATCAAAAGTGTATTTTGCAATGGCTATATTCATCCCAAGTTACAAAGCAGAGTAGCTGGGCTCACACAGTATACCACCCGCAAATGAACAAACCACAGTAACCCATGAATTATAACTTAACCTTCAGAACAAGCCCAGCCACCATGCCTTGTTCAACAATTTTTTAAAACTTTTCTGGTATAGGATTAGGGTAGGAGCCAATGATTGTTAATTGTAGTCCCCTTAGGAGCAGATCTAGCAGTCTTGGGAAGAGTCAGGGTTGACTACCTGAAGGGTCCAGAGGTCAGGTGATGGAAGGCAACCGTGTCATGAGACTGGTTTTATTTTTTTATTTAAGAGTGTATTTATTTAAGTGTATTTATTTATTTATAAGAGTTCATTTTTTGTAAGAGTTTATTTATAAGAGTTTATTTATTTTATTTAATAAAATTAGTTATTTAATTCATTTGTTCAGTTTGTGTACTTTCTCAACCAACCTGCAACTCATAGTTAATCTAATAACAGATCTGCCCTTTACCAGAACAAGATACAGATGGAAAGTGGGCTTCCTGCCCAAAAGAGAGAGGTGCCCTGATCATTGCGTAGAGATGCAAAAGTTGAACATGGAGTCCACTACATAGGATTCACTTTTAAGGCACAGCAGTTGTCAGAATTCTTTCATAATAGCTTCTTTGATTTTCTATGATAAAATTCCTTCTCAGAAGTTCCTGGATTTTTGCAGTTAATAGTTCCTGCAGGGGAAAAGCTAGTGCTCATATAGTAGCTGTTGGCAGTTGCCGAAAGCAGCTGTGTCATTTCTTGAGGTTGCATGGCTATTCTCCAGAGCTGTAGTGCCACCCTGGGAAAAGTTGCATTTGGTTTAAGGAGTTGCAGAAGACAAGAGCTCCATTTTTACCTTTAATACCAAAGCCCTGCACAGCCGGACCTGTGCCGGATCCTGCACATGCAGGATCTTCTGTAGCTCAACCATTACCCTTAATGACCTGTTTAAACCTTAGCTGTCAAAATGCATTCAGGGTTCTTTAACACGGTAAAGGTTTTTGCTCCGTATTGTTGGTTTTCATTTTCTTCCTTATTGAAGACTTTGAAGAAAACAAAAAAATAGCGAAGAAATATTATGCAGATAAATAAACTAGATTAAAAATGTTAAGGGACTAACAGTCACTACTGAACTTTAGTTAAAATGGTTCCCCACAATGTAAACCAAATGAAATTATACTCTGTAGTAAGTTTAGTCCATATTACTGATTTAGTATCTCATAAAATTGAAATACAGGTAGTCCTTGTTTGGCTGCCACAATGGGGAGCAATAACTTGGTTGTTAAGCAAAGCGGTCGC